GAGTTCTCCATTTCTTGAAGGTATCCGACTTTGAGGCCACGGCTGGCGGCGATCGACCCAACGTTGTGCTCATCGGCGGTATTCATGGCGACCAACCCGTCGGCAGAGAGTTATTGATACGATTCACAAAACACTTGATTGAAGGTTACAAACGCCGCGACCCGAGAGTCACTCATATGTTGCAGTCATTGACACTACACGTGATCCCGTCGGTGGACGACATGGGCTTTGAGCGGTCAGTGAGCGGACAGTGCGACCGATCGTTGAACGTGACCAACGACTTGGAGGACAAGTTTGCCGAAGAGTTTGCCAATAAGTTCGGTGCCATTGAAGCGCTTAAGAAGAATTTCGAACTCTTTAAGTACGTGACGGGTCTGAGTGTGGAGTCTCACGGACTGGGCGTTGAATTACCACTGATGTTGAATTTAGACGATCTGAACGGTCAGTCCCTTTCGTCGATGGGCTTCAAAGCACTCACCACTGCATACAAAGCGAACAATCCATCCCTTTTGGTTGACATTAAGTGCAACGAAACAAAAGTGATTAAAACGTATAAAAAGTTGTCACACATTCATAGTGTCGGACAATCGCTGTTAGACTACGGGTTTGCCGATCACAAGACACTGATGATGACGGCGCGCGTCGACTGTTGTTCATACCCATTGTCTTACGAGTTGCCACAACTTTGGAAGAATAATATGGAGTCAATGATGAGTTTCTTGGAGACCAGTATAACAGGTATTTTACACAAAACTATTTACTGCTATATATTTTTATATGTGTTTATCTTTAAAACTAATTTTGTAATTTAAAGGCATAACTGGTTATGTGTTGGACTCGTCTAATGCCGTACCGAAAGCAGTGTCCGTTATTATGGAGGGCTTTGAAGAGCCCATAGAAATCGAGTCGAAGACCGGGAGATTTAATTTGGTTTTAAATGCCGGCGTTTATACCATTCACTGTAATATTTAACTATATTTATCTAATTTATTGAAATTGTTATCAATTTATTGATTTACTTTCCCATTAGTCTCTGCGCCCGGCTTTGAGAACAAGACATTATCGGTAACCGTAAAGACCAATGAAAATAAGAAAATAAACGTGATTCTCGATTCTACCGGTCTATTGATGTCTTACCATAATTACGAAACAATGGCCACACTTCTGGCCAATTACTCCGATAAATACCCAGACATTACATCACTGTTTAGGTATTGAATTGAATTTGTTTACAAAATGAACGATTATTTTAATGAAACACTGTTTTACGGCCAGTATTGGAGAGTCGGTACAAAAGCGCAAACTATTGGTCTTTAGGATCGGTTTGGAATCTGCGAGAAGAGGCGCCGAAACAGCTAACGTCCGGTTCATCGGTGGTCTTCAGGGTCACGAAAGGTCATCCACTGAACTCCTGATCCAATTGATTGAATATCTGTTGAGTCACTACAAGAAGGACACGTTTATCACTCAATTGATTGATATGACACACATCTATGTGCTGCCGATGGCCAACCCGGATGGCGCCGAATTGGCTCAGTTGGGCCGTTGCGATAGCACCAAAGGCCTGACCAACGCCAAGAATGTCGATTTGGATCAGTCATTCTTCGATGGTATTAATAAAAGTTTATTTTTGTGTTAAAAACTATTATAACTTATATTTACCATTGAAAGCATCTCTTGAGTCGAAAACTCCGCCCGAAACCAAAGCAATTATGAAATGGACTAAAGCCGAGAACTTCTTGGTATCGGTGACGCTGAGGACAGGCGGTAATGTCGTTACCTATCCGTTCAGTTCAACCGATTCCTGTGAGTATCTCAACATCTCTAACTTATTGGCAAAATATAGCAATTGTTTTAATCACACAAATTGTAATTCACTTTTTAGCGATCACTCGGCGACCACTTTCAGAGATTGACAAACAATCGTTTGAACACTTGGCGTACATCTACTCCAAAGC